CATCTCTTCCTATTTCTCCATCTTCGCTAGATTCTATTCTCATCCTTCATCCCCAGCTTCACCTCTACCACCAATAAATCCTCATCTTCCATCTTGGCTCATCCACCTCCTCCCCTCGTCTTCCCTATTGATCTTCCCACACTACTCCATCACCTTTTCCTCCCTCTATTCTTCCTCCTTCTCCCCCTCCTCTCTGTGCCTCATCTCCTGCTTGTTCTCATCCTCCATCTCCTTCTTTTCCTCCTCCAACCCTTTTCCTCCCTTTCCTTTCCATCTTCATCTCTTCCTCTTTCATCTCCTCTACCATCTTCTCCTACTCCAAGTTCTCCATTTCTTTTTCCTCCTCCTCTATCCCTGCTTCCTCAAATCCCTTTTTATCTTCTTCCACTTCGTTCTTTTTTTCCTATTTCTCTAGTTCTCATAATTCCTCTGCATCTCGTCCTACTCTGACATCTTTCTCCTATTTTTCTACCTCTTCTAACTCCTTCTCCTCCCTCACTCCTCCACTGCCTCCTTTCTTCTGGCCCACCTCCTCCTCTACCATCACCTTCATCGCCTCTCCTTCCTCTTCCTGTTCTTCTATCCCCTCATTCTTCATCTGTCATCCCTCCGTCAGCTCCTGCTTCCTCCTCCTCCATGTTCATCCTCCACATCTCCCGCTGCCTAACTACCCTTCTTCCTTCTCTCCTCATACCTGCTCTCTCTCATCCATCTTCCTCACCTTAGCTTCTCTTCATCAACCTCCATTTCTCTTCTTGTTCTTCCTCTTAGATCTCTTCCTGCTTCCATTCCTATTACTGACTCCTGAGTCTGTTTCTCCTCATCCTGTTCTCTCCTCCAGCTCATCCTATATTCTCCTGCTCCTCTCTCCTGTCCTCCATCTCCACACCTCACTCCCATCTCTTCCTTTTTCTTTCTTCCTCATCAGTGTTCAATTGTACCCCAACCCTACTCTTCCACCTCCCTTCACCACACACCTCTTCCTCCTCCAGGGCCACATCTGCCCCTCCTCCCCATTTCTGCCTCCATCTTGTCGTCTTCCATATCTTCCTTGTCCTCAACCACTTTCCATGTCCTCCTCCTCCATCTCCTCCATATCTTCTCCATCTCCTGCCCCTCCATTCTCTCCTTCATCTCCTCCATCATCTCATTTCTCCTCCTCCTCTTCCATCTCCTCCTTTCACTTCCTCACTCATTCTTTTCCTTCTCTTCCATGTCCTTCTATTCCTTCCTTCTGCTTTTTCATCTACTCTTCTCCACTTCCTTCACCTGCTCCTCAAATCTGGCTCATCTGCAATCTGGGTACAATTTTTTTTTTTTTTTGGTCGGTCATGGGGCTTGAACTCTGGGCCTGGGTGCTGTCCCTGCGTTCTTCAGCTCAAGACGAGCGCTCTACCGCTTGAGCCACAGCACCACTTCTGGTTTTCTAGTGGTTTATTGGAGATAAGAGGCGCTTGCCTTGCATGCATGAGGCCCTGGGTTCGATTCCTCAGCACCACATAAGCAAAAAGAAAAAAAGCCAAAAGTGGCGCTGTGGCTCAAGTGTAGAGCACTAGCCTTGAGCTGAAGAGCTGAGGGACAGCGCCCAGGCCCAGAGTTCAGGCCCCATGACCGGACCCCCCCTCCCCAAAAAAAAAGTCTCACGGACTTTCCTGCCCAGGCTGGCTTTGAACCATGATCCTCAGATCTCAGCCTCCTGAGTAGCTAGGATTACAGGTGTGAGCCACTGGTGCCAGGCTCGTCTTCCATCTGTTCACCTCCATTTCCCAGTCTCCTGCTCTCTACTCCTCCCATCTCCTCACTCCTGTCTCATATTCTCTCCCTCCACCCATTGCTCCTCAGCTCCTCCCTAACCTCCTTTTTTGTATCCTCCTTTTCTACCTTGAGTTCCTCCTCCTCCCTCTCATCTTCATCCTCTAGTCTTCTCCCATGCCACCTCCCCCACACACACACCCAGTGTCTCCATGTCTGTTACTTCCTCCACCATCCTCTCCTCCTTTCTATCCATTTCCTCCCCATGGCCAACTCTGCTGCTCCTTTTTTCACACTCTTCCTCCTCGACATTCCAACTCCACTACTTCGCAGCCCTCTGGTCTCCTCTGCCCTCCCTTCTCCTCCTCCTCCTTTCAACCTCTCCCCTCCTCTTCCTTTTCCCCAATCCTCCATTCTGCACCCCCTCCTCCTCCTCTGATGTCTTCGGGACTACTTCACTGATCGCTAGCCTCTTCCCTCCTCCCAATCTTTCCTCTTCCTCCTCTATCTTCTCCTGTCTTTTCTCTTCCTCTGCTCTCATCTTTCATCCTTCTCTTCCTCCTGTCCTCCTCTTCCCCTACCCTCCCTTTTCCTCCTACTCTTTTCAACCTTTCTCTTCCTTCTTCTCCCCAGTCTTCCATTCTGTACCTCCTCCTCCTCTGATGTCCTCTTCCTACTTCCAATGATCTCTAGCCCTCCTCTTCCTACCTTCTCCTTTCCTCCTCCCAGTCTTTCTTCTTTCTCCCCTATACCTTCTTCTGTCTTTTTTCTTCATCTGCTCTCATCATCTTTCAATTTTTTTTCTTCCTTTGTCCTTCATCTTCCTATCCTCCTCTTCCTTGCTCCTCCCATCTCCTCCCCTGCCTTCTCTCTCTTCCACCTATCCCCATGTCTCCTCCTTGGGCTATCATCCTCCCCTTTCTGGCTTCACACATTCTCTTTGCTCTGCAGCGCCCTTGTATTTTGCACACACGGACCCCATTTCTCCCCATTGATGCGCTGCCCCGTGCTCCTCCCGCCCCCCTCACCACCCTGACCACCGTGGCTTCCCTCTCAGCTCCTCTGGACTCTTCTCCCCCCTGCTCTCAACTCTTGCCCCTCAGCCCTGCCTCTGTACCTCCTGCAGCTCCCCTGCCCTTCCCCTGCCCCCCCCTTTTTTTTTTTTTACCAGTTCAGACTCTCTCCATCCTGTTTCCATCTCCTTCCTGCCTCCTCTCGCCATCGTCCTTGCTCTTTTCCACATTTCTCTCCTCTCCTCTCCTCTGTCCCTCTGCCCTGTTCTCATCTCCCTCTTCCTCTCTCCTCCCGTTATTGGGTCGCTGAGCCCACCCCCTTCTGCTGTGTGGAGAGCCCTCAGCCTCTCCTTCCTCTGTGCACCCTGGGGGTAGGAACCCACAGGCTCTCTGCAGGATGGTGTGTCCTCCAGGGGCCTGTGGCAGGAGGCTGGCCACTGGGGACACATCTGACACCATTCTTCCTTGCTTCTCTCTGTCCTGGATGCTGGCCACCGGCTGGAGAAACCAGGCCCGGGAAGGAGGGAATCAGGAAAGGCTCCGAGGAAGCAAGTTGCCTACCGACCCACAGAATGTAAGTGGCAAAGACAAGCCTGGGCACCCTTGGGTGGGCCAGCACTGGGCTCCTGGACTCAAGACTGAGCCTGGTGTGAGGGCCCCTGCCCAAGCCCACCCTCTTGTCCAGTTGCAGGTGTCTCTTCAGCTGAGGACCTCACCTGGATGGGAAAACCAGTGCCCAGTGCCCATGAGGACAGCAGCTGCTATGACAGAGACTTCCTGGGACCTGACCCTGCCCAGAGGACCAACATGGCATGGCACCTTTGTCCCCAGGGAAGAGCCACCAACCTTCCAGGAAGGCTTTGACCAGATGGGACTGCTGCCCTCTGCTGCGGACGGGTGGGACTGCAACCTTGCTGTATTAGACAGTGAGACCAGCCCTCCCAAAAAGGACACCTGGGGGAGGGACAGGAGCCCTGGGTTGGATGAATATCTGCACAATTCTGTAGAAATGACCAACTTTACTCCTAATATAAAGTGTATCCAGAAAGCCTGACTCCAGGCCAGTTTGTGCCTCTGAATTCCCAAGCCATGCACTGTGTGGGCCCCTCCTGCATCCCTTGGGAGGTTCCTGGGGGTTGTATTGTGATAGAAGATGGGACTTGAATTTTGGTGAATGCAAGCCCACATGGGTGGGCTCACAGGCAGAGGAGCAAGACCCAACACGGAGTCTCCCTGAGGTTCTTAAGAAGCCTATAGCATTGTTTGTACAAGACAGTGCAGGGCAGAATCTCTCCAAAGTCTAGAACTGGACTCCCATACCCTAAGATCACATGCTAAATGACAGCAGGAAACCCTAGGCTGGGAAAGAAGCACAGAGAATGGCACCAAGGATCAGGCAGGAGGGTCTGAACTGGTTCCTGTCCCTTAAGCCAGGGGGTAGAGAGAGGAAGGGCTGGGGCCGGAGGGGTGGAGACAGAGACAGAGCTATGGCAGATGAGGTTGTGGCCAGAAGGGGCGGGGCTGCTCTAGAGTTGGGTGGAGGAATGGAACTGCAGTACCTGGGGCCTGGCCAAGGGGTGGGAATCTCATTTCAAGAGGACAGCAGTGTGATGAGCTCTGCCATCTGAGTTCCTGGGGGGGGGGGGAGGGTAAGGTGGGGGCAGATGGTGGAGCAAGAACCCCAGCCAGGGCCAGAGCAAGAGCAAGGCCTGTCCATGAAGCTCCTGAAATAAGGATCTCAGGGCAATTGGGCTGGGGGTGAGGTGAGCTGAGGCCACAGAGCTGGAGAGCAGGAGGGTGTGGACTGGGGTTGGGGGAGGTGAAGCAGGGACTGCTGGAGAGTCTGGTGTGAGGATGGCAACTCACCTGGTGTGAAGCAGGGTAGCAGTGGGGTCACAGTGTCACCATTTCACACAGGAACACATGCACACACGTGCACACATACACACACTTCTTCCACACGTCTTCCTGTAGTCATGAATCCTGATGTCATGACTTTGCACAAAATGATCAAGAGTTCAGGCTCTGCATAACCACCAGCCCACACCCCAAACACCCCTGGACAGGAGCTAGTGGAGGGAGCCAGGATCCCCACCGACACAGGTTGTGAAGAAGGGGCGCAGAGCACTGAGGGGCAGCTGGCTGTCTTCCTAAACTGCGAGGTGTGGCAAGGAGTCAGTCAGTTGTGCAGGCTCTGGATACCCCAGCCCATAAAGACAGCGAATGAACGGCAAGAACTGGGAGGGAAGTTTAATAAGGACGGAGCCCTGGGGAGCCTGCAGGAACTCAGAACTGACTAGAACTCACTACAAAGCATGGCTTGAAAGAAAGCGGTCACCTGCTCACCCCCAGGCGCCTCTTATTAAAATGGAGCAAGATGCCTTGAAGACTGCTGTGGGGGGAAGGCATCTCACCAGACAGCTAAGATCTGAAGTTGGGCATGGTGACACCTACCTGTAATCCCCACTACTTGGGAGGCGGAGGCAGACAGATCACAAATGGAAGGGGAGCCTGAATAAAGTTGGCAAGACTCCGTCTCAAAACCAAAATGCAAACACAAGTGCTGGGGGGTGGGGGGCACAAGGGGAGGGAGGGAGAGAGGGAGGGAGCGAAGGAGGCAAGGAGGGAGAGAGGGAGGTCTTGGTGCCACCTTGCCTCCAGCAGTTCTGATGGTGCCACCAGCTCCCAGGTACTGTCTTGGTTCGGCTGACACTAGAGCCAGCTTCCCAAAGACCCCATGCCCAGGGTGGGGTGGGGTGGAGGGAGTCCTAGCCCCAACCGGCGGACTCTGGGGTTCCCTGCGACTGGCTGTTCTTCAACCTGGCAGAGGCAGCCGGGCGGGCCAGCCCCTCCCGATGCAGAGGCCCAGTCTGCTGGCGCCAGGCTGAGGGCCGGGAGGCCGCCCAGACGAAGGCACAGAGGCTGGAGAGAAGCTGGCATGTTCCCAAACTGCAGGACGGGCCTGGCGTCGAGGTGGGGGGGCAGGGCTGGGGGATGTCACCCGGAGTCAACGGGGCCGCGGGGGGCAGTGCGCATGCCCCACACCTGCCACCCTTGGCCAATAGGAAAACAGAGGCTCAGGGAGGCCGAGGGGCTGCGCAGGTGGCCTGCCGGCTCCCGTCCGCCCGCGGGAGATGGGCACGGCGGGGCGGGCGAGGACGGGGCACGCGGGGCGCGGGGTCCCCGGGGCCAGGCCCGGCTCAGCGGCCCCCGCCGCCGCCCCCGCCGCCGCCGCCCCCGCTCTGGCCCCCGGCGTCCGGCGCTCCCGACATCATCAGGAACAGGACCACGGGAACGATGTACATCCACTGCGGCCACAGGACAGACGGACAGACAGAGAGACAGGCGGGGAGGTGAGTGGGGCGCGCCGGCCGCGGGGAGGGCTGGCCCCCCTAGTCACTACGGGGGGGCGGGAGGGGCGAGGCGGGCGGGGCTGGTCCTCACTCAGGCCTCCGGCGTTGGCGCGGGCCCCGGGGCGGCAGGACGCAGGGCTGTGAGCAACACGGCCCCCCCCAGGATGAGGTGCCACTGAGGAGGGAGGGGCACAGGTCAGGGGCCCAGGCCTCGGAGGGCCGGGCCGCGAGCAAGGGGCGGGGAGGCCCGGCCAGCGGCCACAGGTCCAGGGCCCGGAGCTGAGAGTGCGCGGGGCGGCAGCTCCCACCGCCTCGCCCCGGGCAGCACGGCCTCGCCGTGCCCTCACCTGGCTGGGCCTGCGCACAGCAGCAGGGTGGGGGGGGGACTGGGTGTTGCCCGAACCTCCAGGTCTCACCCCCCCACCCAGTACCACGCCTCCAGCCTCCACAGCCCCCTGTGACCGCGCACAGGCCCTGCCCTACTGGGCACCGCTGCCCCGCGCCCCGCCCCCTCAGCGCCCTCTCCAGGGACCCAGACTTCCCCTTCCTGCCCCGCCTCCTGCTGACCACGCCCCTGCCTCACCCCCTGTAGGCCACACCCATTGCCTCCTGTCCCGTCTCCTGTGGATCCCGCCCCCTGCAGGTCACGCCCACTGCCTTCCTGCCCTCTCTGCAGGCTACACCCATTGCTGGCCACACCCACTGCCTTTGCTGCCCATCTCCTGCAGGCTCTGCCCCGTGCAGGTCAGGGTCACCACCTGCAGGCCCTGCCCCTCCGGCTGCCCACTCTAGCCACCCGTACGCCTTCCCCTACAAGCCCCAGCCTGGTGTGCCCAAAGGTCTCCATCCCAGAGGGGCTGTCTGGGCTCCTTAGGGACACCCACCCTGCTGTTCTGGGCCTGAGCTGATGCAGGTCCACAACCCTGGCCCCTTCACCCAGGCCCATAGGGATGTATCTGGGACACTGGACAGGAGTAAGGAGGCCCGGCCAGCTGGGTAGGGCCTGGAGTGGGAGGGAGGTTAGCCTCACTCACATATTTGGCGAAAAAGGACTTCTGCTCCTGGGGGTTCTTGGCCTTCTGGGCCTGCTCCATCTCCAGGCGCTCAATAAAGGCTGCTGTCTCAGGGCTGGAGGTTGCAGAGGGAAGGGAAGGGGTGAGGGACTGGACCCCGATACCCAGGGACAGCCAGCTCCAATAGTGGCCAAGGCAGCAGGGACTTCCACAGCCTTCCCTCCCTCCCCCTCTTCCTCACCCTGGGGCCGTTCCTGGTGGCCGCAGCTGCACGGAGGTATTGAACAGCTCCAGGTCCACATCCTCCACCTCCTGGCCCCGGCAGCCCCCAGGGTGTGTCACCACCGATACGCCCACCACATTGCCAGCCACGTCCACATGCAGGGTGAGATGGTCTGAGAGGTGCGACTCGACCAGTGAGCACTGCGGTGGGGTGCCACCATCAGGCCGGGGGTGGGGGCAGGGGAGAAGGGGCTGCTGCCCTTCTACCCCACCGGACCCCAGCAATGGCCTGCTACCTTAGGCACAGGTCCGAGTTCAATACAATGGGGGAAGACCCATCACTGACTTACCGCTGGGACAAAGGAGGAGACATAGCCACCAACTTCTAGACTGTCAGGGGATCCTGGCCTCCTGGGGACTCGGACCCGGTACAGGCCATTCAGGGCTGCCACATCCTTCAGGACAAGCAGAGAAGGGCAGCAGTGAGAGGCACAGAGTCCAGGCCCCCAGACCTGGCAGGAAGGCCTCCCCCAGACTCAAACCCCCAGCATCCTACAGTCCTGGCCTGGCTCACCCAGCTAGTGGCTGAGGCCAGAGCAGCTGGCCTTCTGGCCTGGGGGAGAAGCCGCCCAGGATAGCGAGGACCAGCCCAGAGGCCGAGTGAGTCCCAAGGACATTTTCCCAGATGCTTTAATCAAACTACAACTGACAATCACCCCACGCTAGACCAATTGCCTAAGCAAATAAATTGTCTTGGGGGGCAGCTGGCACAGAGAATCATACAGAATCATACAGAAAGGCTGGTAGTGGAAGATTGACACCCCCTCTCCCACAGGGAAGATGGCCAATGGGCTCACAGCTGCCAGCGGCTGGTTCTCAGCCCCTACACATAAAACCGAAGTGGGATTGGACCATGTTTGTTTTCATGGGGGCTGGCCCTCTAGGTGACCCCAAGAAAGAAAGAGAGAGAGAGAGACAGAGAAGAGGGAGGGATGGAGGGAGGGTGGGAGGAAGAAGAAAGAAGGATAAAGAGAGAGGAGAAAGAGAGAGAAAGAGAAAAAGAAAGAAAGAAAGAAAAAGAGAGGAGAGGAGGAAGGAAGGAAGGAAGGAGAAAGAGAGAGAAAGAAAGAAAGAAGTAAGGAAAGAAGGAAGAAGTCCTTCTGTCAAGAAGGACTCTCTGGAGGATTTTTCCTCTCAAGCAAATGAGGGGCCCTGAGCCAGGCTCCAAGAACCAAGGTGCTATCCAGCCTGGAGGGGCCACAGGAGGAGCTGCTAATCCTGCCTGGAACTGGGGAAGCTGCACCAATCACTCAGTGCCCTCATGCCCAGCACTGGGGTAGCAACCTCACCCGAAGTCGGCCTCGCTCCTCCTCACTGAGCTGCCGCTGCGTCAAAGACAAGGTTCCATCCTGCTGGTTCCAGAGCAGTGAGCCCCGCTTCCGGAAGTTGGCGGTGTCATCTGGGAGGGAGGGAGTCCAGACTCAATGATTACCTTCCCTTTCAATCGTGGCACAGGGCCGAGATCAGGATTCAGGCCTCAGCCTGGTCTCCACCCCAGAGTGACCAGGTGGCTTCTTCATCCTGAGCCCCCAGTTTCCCATCTGCAAATTGGGGACACCGCTACCACATCCTGCCCTCTGCAAAGGCACCAGGTTTCTTTCCTTCCAAGTGAGGGCAGTGTGGGACTCACCAATCTCAAAGGAGTGCTCCAGCAGCAGCCCCAGGGTGCCACAGCCCTCGCCATCTCGGCCATCAGCCCCAGCCTGCAGGAGAGACAGGGTCCTCAGATAGGGACCACCCTAGGTCTAAGCAGGACAGCACTCACAGGACCCACGGCAGACTGGAAGACTGAAGAAGGAGCCTCATTTTCATGCTCATATCCAATCACACATCTCTATCCTGCAGGAGGTGCCCACTCATGAATATTCATGATCCAGACTCCCATCCACTCCTGTAAAACTCTACAAAAGTGCTTAAGCGTTTCCTTCATTTCCCAAGGCAACCATCCCAATTTACTTCATAAATATTCTCCATCATAAATATTTCAGCATCGTAATTATTCATGGGTTAAAGGACAACCTCCATTTCCATTGGACCAACAATCCAAATGTCTTCATTTTTACCTTAACAGTCCTGATAGTCAACCATCCAAAAGACCAAAGGTCCAACCCGGGTCCAGGGCATTCAACATTCCAAGCCTTTCACACCTTCAAATCTCTGCCTCTGCATCCTCCACCTACTTCCGGCCCTGGCTGCTCAGCGATTTCCCTCCCCCCACACACACACCTCATGCATATTCACGAGCAGAGAGCTCTAAACCCTGGAGCTCCGCCCCCAGCTTTGCATTTTGATAAGTCGGACACCTGATTCGCCAATGTTCCTTCCTGGCCACACCCCCGTGTGAATATTTACCAGCTTCTATCCGGGCATTAGAGGACATTGGCCCCGTCCTGCTTTTCAGTTCAGCCCCTATTCCGCCTCAGCCAATCCGCGGACGATTCCGTCCTAGCCCCGCCCATCAGCACATTCAAGACCCAACAGTTGGCCGGTCAGTCTCCGCCGCCCGGAGCAGACCAAGCTGCGTGCGTGTTGAGGCGCCCCCGCTTTCCCGTGTCCTCCAACCTCTTGACTCCATCCGCCCGCCCGCCCGCGTTAAATCTACCTACCGACCGAGAAAACACAACTTCCGCCGGCTCCGGCCGCCGTACGGAGCTAATGAACACTCACCCCCCGCGCAGTGGCCCCAGCGCGGCAGCCGCTTCCCCGGGCCCGACTAGGCGCTGCTGCCGCCATCAGCAAGAGCAGGAGCAGCCGGGTTGCCCCAGCACCAGCTGCCGCCATTCCGGCCCCTTACCAGCCAAGAGGCTGAGCAGAGCCCAGCGCCGCAGAGCGCGCTGGGGACAACCAGAGCCGCAGCCAGACGCTTGCGCGCCTGCGCCGGCTCCTGCGCCTGCGCAATGGCGCCGGATACTCAGCAAAGCGCTCACCTTTCCATCCGGGGCTCTGAGACCCGCCCTTCCAGTGACGTTATTACGGAGCGCGTCACCGGTGAGGCCTAGCGACTCGTCACGCCCCGTTGTGACGTCACAAACCCATGGCCTTGCCCTCTCTTTTTTTTACCCTGGCTCCTCCCGTCGCTCCCACCCAGGGGCGGGGCATTGCGATGAAGCAGGGGCAGGGGTCTCTGTCCGCCCTTGGTGGAGCAGGTGAGGCGGGTCCAGGTGGGATGGCAGGTGAGAAGCAGAGCCAGGCCAGGGGGGGCTGGACCTGGTGAGGGGATCAGTGAGGGCACCAGGTAATGGGGTCAACGATCGGGAAACTTGTAGTCTTCCCCTCTACCTCGACGCAATACAGCCCTGGGCCCTACCTGCTGGAGCATCCAGGCCTAGCCTGGGATAGATCCTCAAACTTCACCCCTCTAGAACGCCCCCTGGTTCCAGCCCATCCCCATGGCCGTCTTGGGCGGCTCCAACGACACCTCCTGAGCGGCGAGTTCGACCAGCTGCGGGACTTCCCCATCTTTGAGAGTAACTTCGTGCAGGTGTGGAGCCCCAGAGTCCCCCCCCTGGGCCCCCCCATCCCAGAGCCTCTCCCCCATGTGTTGAATTGCTGTTCCCCCATCATCCATAGCATGGATTTGCTTACCTCCAACTCCTGATGACCTCTGACCTTCCCCTGTCCCCAGTCCAGTCTTTTAGCTTGATTATGAACCCCAACTTCTGTGTCCCCTGCCTCAGTTTCCCCAGATATCACACCCCATATGATTCTTGTCCTCTAATCCCATGAGGTCTGCCCCCCCCCCCCAACCTGATTTACAACTGCTCTCTGACCCTGACCTCTGCTTTCTAGCTATTTTGTCTCTAACCTCTGGCCTGTGGCTCCAGGTGACTCGGTTTGGAGAAGTGGCCAACAAGGTTACCATGGGGGTGGCAGCCTCCAGTCCAGCCCTGGAACTCCCTGACCTGTTGCTGCTAGCTGGTCCTGCCAAGGAGAACGGTCGCCTGCAGCTCCTCGGGTGACTGTCCTATCTGGTCTCTCCCCCTCCTGCTGCAGCTCTGGTACCCAGCCCCCCTGGGCCAGGAGTGCTGATGGCTGCCAGTCCTCTGGACTGATTTCTACCCAAGACAGCAATCCACAGGAACCAGAAATCAGGGACTAGATGTACGGCAGGAGGGGGGAGAAGGGACCAAGCCTTCAGTGACACCTTGCAAAGGTCAGGAAGGTAATCATGGATACAATATCTTTGCATGCCATGACCCCTTGGTCCATGCACATAATCCCTGCTTTTGTTTGAGGATCAAGAGTTCTAGGCCAGCCTGGCTGCATTAGTGAGACCCTGTCTTTAAAAAATGAAATGAAATAAAATTTTAAAAATGAGGATAGCAAGGATGATCATAAACACACCCAAGACTAAGACTAATAATTTTTTATTTACCCCCTGACCTAAGTGACGAACTTCACGTGTGTGTGTGCTGGTACTGGGACTTGAGTTCACTTGACTTTTTTGCTCAAAGCTAGTTAGTAGTCTACCACTTGACCCATACCTCCACTTCTGGCTTTTTGGTAGTTAATTGCAGATAAGAGTCTCACTAACTTTCCTACCTGGGCTGGCTTCAAGCCTTGATCTTCAGATGATCTCAGCCTCCCAAGTAGCTAGAATTGTAAGGGTGAGTCGCCAGCCTTCAAATGGCCTAGGTTCTAATTCTGCCTTCATTTCCTCTCTACTGGCTTTGGCTAAAAGCCCTATCTGCCCAGGCCTCAGGCTAAAAGGTAAAGCACCTGCTAATGCCAGCTCAGGTACTAGGGAGAGAGCACTGGGCAAAAATAGCCCACATCTCTGCCCTGCCGTTCATGTTGCCCTGTGAAGACAATAAGTGATGATCTGTCAGATGGAGAAAGGACCCTGGTGGGGTCTGTGAAGTTAGTGAAGTTTTAAATAGGCCAGGAGGGACCTCCCCCCCAACCCACCACCCCCTGCAAACAGGTGCCTCCAAAGGAAAGAGGAGAGAAATGAAGTTGGGAGATGTGTGTAGAAAGAGGGCTGCAGGGGGTGGAGGTGGGGGGGCACAGCCAGTGCCAAGGTCCCTGCCTTGTTGCTGGAACAGTGAGACCAGCTTGTCAGAGTGGGCAGAGCTGGAAGTCCCTCCACCCTCCCCCCCCCCCCCCAGCAGGATCCTGGGGTTGGTGTGAGCCTGCTCTGAGCAGCAGGTGGCACTGGTGCCCCCTGGCGGCTGGGCGGTGCGGAGGAGCTGCACCCAAGGCCCTGGCTTCTCCCGCACAGGCTGTTCCCCCTGCAGTTCGTGCAGCTCTTCGTCCACGACGAGAGCCGCCTGCAGCTCAAGGTCAAGTTCCGCACCGGCCGCGCCTTCTACCTGCAGCTGAGGGCCCCGCCCGAGACCCGCGAGCGCGAGTTTGGCCAGTGGGTGCGGCTGCTCTACCGCCTGCGCTTCCACTCGGCCCAGGTCGCAGTGCCCTTCACGCTGGAGGACTCGGTGCTGGACAGTGAGGACGATGACGATGATGATGACGACGATGAGGAGCTGCTGCCGCCTGAGGAGGTGGGGGCAGGCCTGAGCCCCATAGGGGCTCAGAGGCCGAACCCTCGAACTGAGGGAGGAGGCTGGGCCTGGGATCCCAGGCCTGAGCAAGACCCTGGGCCTTAGGGTTGTGAAACTCTGAGGAGACTGGAGGGTATCATGGGTGTGGGGGGAGCAGGGTGGCACATCCTGGCACCCCTTCCTGTCCTGGGCACATACAGCCTCCCCAGCCCCCCAACTTAGTGGGGGTGCATGCTGGAGCAGATGTGGAGACAGGAACTGGACTACCAGGGTGCACCCCGCCCAGCCCTGCACACCCCCACCCCACCCCACCTCAGTCTGAGACCCGCTTCTTCTCTCCTCCCAGCTCCAAGCAATAGAAGCCAGACTGGACCCTCAGGCCTCTGAACTCTGGGGACTCTGATTCTGTCAGCATCCCTCACGGTCCCCCCCAAAGGACCAGAGATGAAAGCAGCTGACCTCAGGGCAGACAGATGAATTATTAAAGTTAATAAAGATCCGGCACTTAATCAACCACCAGGCCCCGGGCCCTTTTGGCAGCATTGCCTGCTCGCCATGTCTTCCACACTCCTGGGGCCTCACCCTTGGTTCTTCGAGCAGCCGCAGCCTCCCCAGCCTGTGCCTGATCCTGGGCTCCCACCACATAATCCCGGTTCACCTTTGAACCTGTATGGTTGCCATGGCAACATGGCTCACACTAAAGTTGCTCTTTGAATGTGGCGGCTCCATGACCCACCCCAGAGTGTGACCAGCCTCAGCTGGGAGGCAGGAGAGGCACAGACAGACACGACACACAAGGGACAGTAGATGCAACACTCTTGTTGAAGTTCATAACTCCAGAAATGAGACACCGCTCCCCACCACTCCCCAAGGGGTACAGGATTGAGGATGGGACTCAATTGTCTTGACGGCTGGGGGGCCTCGCATCACTGGGGCACTGTGGGGGAATGAGAAAAGAGGGGTAGGCGTGGGCCCAGGCACCTCCCACATCCCCAGCTGCTCCCTCCCTCCCCCCCATGCAGGTGACCAGAAGACTGGCCCACCCCATTCCAAAGCCTACCCCTCCTTTTTCTGTTGAAGTGGGCACCCAGTAACTTTCTCCAGGCCAGCCTCAAACCTTGATTCTCCCAATCTCTGCCCCACCCCCACCCCCAAGTAACTGGGATTACAGGCATGAGCCACTGCACCCAGCCTGTGCGGCCTTCTCCATAACACACACCACCTAGGTCTCCACCCGGCTGCCTAGTTCACTTCACTCAGCAGCACCTTGGGGAGGTTTCCAGAGTATTCTCCCCAGCGGGGACCAGGCCCTGCTCACCCCGGACATCCAGCCTGCACTCGGCTAGGGCCTCCCCCAGCTCATTGAAGGCGCGGCAGGAGTAGGTCCCAGCATCAAAGGGCGAGGGGCGGCGGATGTTCAGTGTCAGGATGCCCTGGTAGTTGGTGATCAGGAATTTGGGGTCCTCGTGAATCTCCATCTTGTTCTTCATCCACACCACTTTCGGCTGGGGAGGGAGCCAAAGAGAAGGAAGATATCAGGGGGTGCCTGGAACAGTGGAAACATAGTGTGGTTTGGGGGGCTGCTCCTCTTAGCTGGGTGTCCAGGATCAGTCACATCCACTTGCTGACCCTCAGGCTGTTTTTTTATAAAAGCAAGCCACGGGCCCCTGGCACACACCTGTAATCCCAGCTGCCCAGGAGCTGAACTATGAGGAGCACAGTTCAGAGCTAACCTGAACAGGAAACTCCATGAGAATCGTCTTCCATTAACCAGAACAAGGCTGGGAGTTAAGCGGGAGCTCAAGTGGTAGAGCGTCAGCTTTGAGCAAAACAGCTACAGAGAGTTCAAGGATCTGAGTTCAAGCCCCAGGAACAAACACACACACACACACACACACACACACACACAGAACTTGGTTGGGCCAGGTGCCAGTGGCTCACACCTGTCATCCGAGCTATTTGGGAGGCTGAGATCTGAGGATCACGGTTCAAAGCCAACCCGGGCAGGAAACTCCATGAGACTATCTCCAATGAACCATCAGAAAACCAGAAGTGGCGCTGTGGCTCAAGTGGTAGAGCACTCAACTTGAGCTGAAGAGCTCAGGGACAGCGCCCAGACCCCGAGTTCAAGCCCCACAACCAACCAAAAAGAGAGAAAACTTGGGGAAGAAAGGAGAGCTGGTGGGGTGCTTGGGGCGCCGCCGCCCCACCCCGGCCGGCACCTTGGGGTTGCCTCTGATAGCACAGTTGAGAGCAGCAGCGTAGCCCGCCACGACCACCCGGTCCATGAGAGGTGTTAGGAACTTGGGCGGCGTCCGGAAGTCATGCTCTTTGTACTCTACTGGTTTGAGGCTGATTCCTGGGGAGGAAGACACCTGTAAGGTGACCCCTGTCCCCCTCAAACCTCAGTCCCCAACTTGGAGTCCCAGTAGAGGGTAGGGTGGGAGTCCAGGCGCTCCCACCCCCCACCCCCACCCAGGGAAGGGAGAACTGCACCTGTCTTGAGGATGCGGGCGGTGTTCTTGGAGACCCCAGGGGAGTCGCTGAGCCCACAGATGTTCTCACTGAACACGCGGAAGTAGTACTCATTGCCCACAATGAGGTCAGACACGGTGCAGCTGGTGTGGCGGTTGTGTTCATACACATTGAACCACTCCTGGCATGGGGACACAAGGGACCAAGGCAGACAGGGAAGAGGGAGACACAAGTGAACAGAGACACAGAAGGGGCGGTGGGGGGAGGGGCAAAGTGCACCTCAGTGTTGAGAAGCCTCTCAGCACCATCTACAAACGCCACAAGGAAGCCAATGGATGGACAAGCCAGATTACCCCACCCCCACCCCATACAATGGATACTATCCAGCCTGGAAAACAATGCAGCCCTGAATGACATGATCAGGGGACCAGGATCTGAAGCCAGCCTGGGTGGAGGTGGGGAGCTGACCAGGGCTAGGAAAAGTGTCACACGCCTGTCAACCCAGCAATGTGGGAAAAGAAAGGAGGATCCAAGTCCAAGCTGAGGACCAAGGATGAAGTGAGACCCTATCTGAAAAGATAACCAACCAATATGGGCTGCTGGAGCCACTCAAGGGGTAGAGCAGGCCTAGCAAGTATGAAGCCCTGCGTTCAACCCCCAGTATGGCCACAATAATCAATGGAACACGGTGACGTGTTCCTTTAATGAGTAGAGAAATGCATCCTACATGGCAGCTCAGCCCAGCCAGGGTCTCTCCCCTGCCCCTTGCCCCCTCTCCCCTCCCCATGCTTCCTCAGCCCTCCCCCTCCTCTCACCATGGTCTTCTTGTCGGCTTTCTGCACGAAATAGCCGGTGATCTCGCTGTTGCCGTTGTCTTTGGGGGGCTGCCACTCCACCAGTGCGTTAGTGCCCCACACCTCCTTCACCATCACGTTCTCGGCGGGCCCTGCCTTTTCTGGAAGCAGAGCAGAGCCCAGGTGTCCGATGGCTACTACTCGTCTCCTCTTCCAGCCCATCCTTCCCTTCCTTGTGGATTCTGCCTTCGTCCCTCTTTTTATTTTTAAAGTTAGTTAAAATTGTTTTGGGTGCTAGACACTCTGTTGAAAATGAGCTAGACACATTGTGGGTGGGGATGGGAGAGAGCAAGGGAAGGGGTGACATTGTCCCAACAGAAGTGTACTCTTTACCTGACTATGTATCTCCTGTGGATCTCCTTTATAATAACAATTGGAAACTTTTTTGAAAAAAATTTGTGTTGGGGGATCCTGGGGATGTGAACTTAGGGCTTCATACTTCCTAGACACTCGGCCATTCAAGCCACGCCCAGTCCGGTGAGTCTCCGCTGGAGCCACGCCCTTGGTCACGCCCACTCGAGCCACGCCCACCCTGGCTACCCGTGCCTGAGTGGAGTCTACTCTAGTCCAGGGCCTTATAAGCCACGCCCCGTGACCACGCCCAGTCAAGCACACGCCCTTGCGGGAGGATCCATCGCTGCAGTCACGCCCACTCTTCCCACGTGCGTGGGAATCCAGGGCCTAGATTCTCCATCTGGGCTCCTACCTCTCCTCTCCACCCGTCCCCCTCTTGCGCCCCCTACCCCCGGCCTTCCTCTCCCCTCCCCTCGTCCTTCCCCCACCCTTCTCCGACCCCCGCCACCCACCCACCCACGACCCGGATGCGGATGGTGGCCGTGTCCTTCATGTTCTCGATCTGCACACTGAGCTCGTACTCCCCGGAGTCGGAGCGCTCGGCCTGGCGCACGAAGAACACGGTGTCCAGGTCGCTGGTGCGCACGTGCACGCGCGCTGGGTCCACCGGCGCCCCGCCCTTGGTCCACACCACCTGAGGCCGGGGCTTGCCCTGTGGGGCAGGCTGGGGTCAGCACGGGCACGGGGGGCTGGGGGGGGAGCCCCTGCTCGGCCCCGCCCCACCCCTGCCCCGCCCTGTGGGCACCTGGAACAAGGTGACAAGGTTGAGCGCCCGGCCCCGCCCAGGCCCGGCCCCGCCCCGCGGGCACCTGGAACGGGATGACGAGGTTGAGCGCCTCGCCGACTTTGCGGACGTAGGTCTGGCGCAGGTGGCGCGGGAGGCGGATCTTGGGCTGCTCTGAGGGCGCAGACAGGGCGGGGGTTCAGTCGGGGGCCGGGCCCCCGAGGGTCCCCTAGGATGTGGGCGCGGGCGTGGGGAGAGGCTCACCCACGATCTCCCGGATGGTGACCGGCTGGAGCAGGGTGGCCGGCAGGCTGCGCCCCGCGATGTTGACGCCGACCACGCGGAAGAGGATCCGCGCCCCGGTGGGGAGATCCTTGACGGTGAAGCCGCACCGCTCCACCGGCTCCTTGTTTGCAGAGACCCAGTCCTCGGCTGGACAGAGGGGCGGGGACCTTAGGACCCCGCGCCCACCCCACCCCACCCTCAGCTCCGGGTGCCCTTCGGGGACCTGGGCACTGCCCAGATGTAATACCCGGCCCGCAGGGTGCAGAGGCCGCTTAGGGCGGTGAGGCTATGCGGGAGGCAGGAGCCGGAGGATGTACTGGTGGAGGCCAGCCCAGGCAAGGCGAGTGAGACCTTACTTCAAACCCAGAGTACAAACAAAAGAGCTGGGGGCATGGTTTGCGTGGGGAAACACTTGCCTAGGAGAGAGGCCTTGAGTTCAAAACCCCATACAGAGAGAGAGACAGAGAGACAGAGATAGAGTGAGGAAGAGGAAGAGAAAGGAAGGAGGAAGGAAGGAAGGAGGGAAGGAGGGAGGGAGGGACTGATGGAGGGAGAGAGGAAGACTGAGTAGGTGGTTGGCTAGGGTGGGTGTGTGGATGGATGGAAGGCAGGCAGAAGATAGAAGTAGAAGATAAATGGAGGGAAGGATAGACAGAGGAATGGAAGGCCATTGCTGTGTGGAGGAAGGACATGGGGAGAGGGGAGGGAGGGAAATGGGACCCATGATCATTAAGGTCTGGCTTGGCCCCCTGACCCTCAGCCTGCCTGCATGGTGACCTGACAATGCCTGCCCCACGGCGGGCCCCAGTGCCTGCAGGACCCCTCACTCAGTTCCCTGGTCGAGGACCCCTGGGGCCAGGAGGGAGCACTCACAGCCTTCCAGGCAGTACTCCACCAAGTAGCCGTCAATGCCACCTGCCCCGATCCTGTCTGGGGGCCTCCACTTGAGGGTAGTGGTGGTGTCTGTCACATCCTCCACCGTCAGGTGTAAGGGTTCACTTGTGGGGGCTGTAGGGACCCAGGGAAAAAGGGGATCAGGGTCAGGGGTCAGCAGGCATCAGAAGTGGATTTTCCAGACAGGGAAGGGGCTACTGTGATGGTGGTCAGCAGCCATCTAGAGTGGTGACGCATGCCTGTAATACCAGCAATCAGGAGACTGGGGCAGGAGCATGGAGTTTGAGGTCATCCTGGACCACCCAGTGAGATGCTGTCTCAAAGACTCTCCAAGCAAGATAGTCTCGAAGGTCAGGGGGGAGGAGTGAGGCTGCAGGTTGGAGGGCAGCCAGGCAGTCAGGTGTCAGAGCAGAGGCCGGGACCAGGGAGGTCCATGGTTAGAGCGCTGGGTCGGGAGGACATGGGAGGTTGGGGTGAGGAGCTCCACGTGCTGGGTTGAGGGACAAGAGGGGTCAGAAGTCAGTACGGTCTGTGGGTCAAAGGCCAGGGCATAGGGTCCGAGGTCAATGGCAGGCAGTGCATGGGTCAGAGGTCAGCAGGGCATCCGGGGTGTCCTTGTTACCGATGGGCATGAAGGGCTTGGTGTTGAGGCTGGGCTGGGAGACGCCGATGGCGTTGACAGCGAACACCCGCATCTCGTAGAGAACACCCTCGATCATCTTGGTGGATTCGTAGGTCGTCTCTGTGAACACCTCGAAGTTCAGCTTCATCCAGCGCTGGGAGCCTTTCTTCTTCCGCTCCAGGAGGTACCCTGGGGGCATCCCGAGAGCAGCAATGGGGTCAGGGGGCAGCCAAGGGGGCTCAGTGCAGGTGCGACAGCCAGGGTCACATGAAAGGCTCACAGAGAGGCCCAGCGCCACCATCTGGCTTCCTCTTTGGGGGTCACAGAGCTGTAGGGGGGGGGTTGGGACTCGAGAGATCACAGGTGTCACATGCAGGGTCAGAGGCCACAGAAAAACCCAGACTGTGGACCAAAGTAAGATATGTTCCCAGGTCAGTCACTGGGGGCTAAAGAATGAGGGAAGCCAGACATGGTCGTGCACACCTGTAATCCCAACTACTCAAGAGGGAGAGGCAGAAAAAAAAAAAAAAAAAAAAAAGAGGGAGAGGCAGGAAGATCACAGTCCAAGGCTGGCCCTGAGGAAAAAGTGGGACACCCTCTTCAAAAGCAAACCAAAAGCAAAAGGGTTGAGGATGTGACTGAAGTGGTAGAGCCCTTGCCTAGCAAGCCCAAGGCCCTGAGTTCAAAGCCTCAGTGTCGCAAAAACTAAAAGAAATAATGGGAGAAACCAAAGGGATCAAGAAAGACCAAAGATGAGGTGGTAAGCCAGATCCCAGGATTGGCCGAAGAGGATGCTAAGGGCTCCTTGAGGGCAGGGGTCAAGGAGCAGAGTTCAGAGGTCACAAGGGGCTGGGCCTCACCAGTGACCGCCTGACCGCCATCATACTTGGGTGGCTCCCACACCAAGATAGCCCAGTCTTCTCCCACTGAGGTGACACGCACAGCCTCCGGAGGGTCGGGGACATCTGAGGGGAAGGGGGACAAGATCACCAGGTGGCCTCCCAAACACCTCAAGAAGCCACCTCTAGCCTCCTTGTGCCTCTTCTTACCCACAACCCGTAGGAAGATGGAGGCCACATCCTCGCCCGCGGGGTTGGTGACCTTGATGGTGTAGCGGCCCTCGTCTGCGCGCTCCGCGCTCTCGATCACAAAGCTGCTGCAGTCGGGGCGCTGCTCGATGCGTGTCCTGCCCTCAGTGGCAGAGAACACCTGCGCAGAGCACCAGGGTGCCTTGCTGGATGCGCCCCAGCCCCCCCGCCCAAAGACCTCCCTGGCTCCCCCATTACTGCCCATTCTGGACGCCCCCACTGCCCCCCTCAACCCACACATGCCCCCTACCCATCATGAAGATGCCACACTGAGTGGTCCCAGAACCCCAAGAACTGGCTCCTGGACACCAGGCTCTCACAAATTTGTGGGATCATGCCCAAGTCACCTTTCCAGGATGCCACCTTGGATGCTACCAGGTGGAGGGACCAACACCCCCAAATATCCCCATAGCTCCTCCTGCTCGCTTCCTCTCTCCCTCCTTCCTTCCCTCCCTTCCTTCCTTGAGATTGAACTTAGAATTGCACAGGCTAAGCAAATGTTCTACCACTTGAGGCACTCCCCAGCCCTTTCATTTTTACCTTTATCTTTCAGAAAAGGTCTCCTAAATTTGCTCTGATCAGCCTTGAAGCATAATTCTCCTACCTCCACCTGGGAGGAGCTAGGACTATAGGTATGAACCGCCAGGCTGGGCCCTTAATCTCACTCTTTACCTAAGCCCCAACCATTCTGCCTGGCTAGTGCCTTCCCTGCCTCTCCCCAAGAGGCAGGGCTGGGTCTGATGGAGAATTGCAAACAAGGCAGAGCCTGCACACAGCTTCCAGAGCAAAGGAGGGAATAAAGGCCAAATCACAGCATGAATGGGCAACTAGAATGGAGAATGACCAAATGGACAAATGGGAGTCTGGAGCACAGCTATGATTTGGAGAGGTGGCCCCAGAGGCTCATGTCTTAAAGACTGGTCCCCAGCTCTTAGTGCTGCTGGAAAGGTATGGAGCCTAGCAGAAGGAGATCTGATCACTGGGGACGTGGTCTTGAAAGGATATGAGGGCACCAGCTGGCCCCTTCCTGACTCTCCCCTTGCTTCCTGAACATCATGGGGGCAGCACCTGGCTCCAACCTGTGCTCCCACCATGATGCTCTGCCTGCCACAGGCCCAAAGTGAATGGGGAAGGAAAGGAGAGAACCACAGACTGAAACATAAGCCAAAATAAACCTTTTGTCTGATGAAGATGATTTATGTCAGACATGTGTCTCAATGATGGACTAACACAAGCACAGAGGGAGCCTGGTACTGGTTGCTCAAACCTGTAATCCTAGCTACTCAGGAGGCTGAGATCTGAGGATCATGGTTCAAAGCCAACCCGGACAGGAAAATCCGTGAGACTCTTATCTCCAATAAACCACTAGAAAACCAGAAGTGGCGCTATGGCTCAAGTGGTAGAGCTCTCGCCTTGAGCTGAAGAGCTGAGAGACAGTGCCCAAGCCCAGAGTTCAAGCCCCATGACCTGCCAAAGGAAAAAAAAAAAAAAAAAGCACAGAGGGATGGAAACTGGAAGTGGCCTGGGGACTAGGACACAAAATAAAAATAGTTTGTGGGTAGGTGGATGATGGGTAGATGGACAGATGACTGGATGGATAGACAGATGACTGGATGGATGATGATGGATGACTGAATGGATGATGGATGAGTGGATGGATGGATGGACAGATGACTGAATGGATGATGGATGAGTGGATGGATGGATGGATGGGTGGACAGATGACTGGATGGATGATGATGGATGACTGAATGGACGATGGATGAGTAGATGGATGGATGAGTGGATGGATGGGCAGATGACTGGATGGATGATGATGCATGACTGAATGGACGATAGATGAGTGGATGGATGGATGGATGGATGAGTGGATGGATGGACAGATGACTGAATGGATGATGATGGACAGATGACTGATGGATGATGATGATGGATGGGTAGATGGATAGAGGGATGAACAGATGACTGGGTGGATGATGAATGATGGTGGATGAGTAGGTGGATAAGTAGATGGTGAATGGATGATGGATGATGGATGGACAGATGACTAGCTGGATAGGGTGGTGGATGGATGGATGATAGATGGATGGATGGATGTAGACTCTACCATATGCCAGCCATACCCAGTGGTGGATGAGTAAATACCCGGCCTTAAAAACAACCCCGTGAAGAACAAATCTTGGGGCTGGGAAGGTGGCTCAGTGGTAGAGTGCTTGCCTTGCATGCATGAGGCCCTGGGTTCAATTCCTCAGCACCACATAAGCAAAAAGAAAAAAAGCTGGAAGTGGCGCTGTGGCTCAAGTGGTAGAGCGCTAGCCTTGAGCTGAAGAGCTGAGGGACAGCGCCCAGGCCCAGAGTTCAGGCCCCACGACCGGACCCCCCCCCAAAAAAAAAGAACAAGTCCTTACCCTAACTTTGTAGAGAATGAAACTGGGATTCAGACAAGGAAAGAAACTGGCTTGAAGTCACCCAGCAATACTGAAAGAGAGAGATGCTCAAGCCAGCCCAACCTACCTCATCTCCCTTCAGCCAGGTGGCGACGGGAGGGGGCTCCCCAGTGATGGACACATCCAGCCTCAACTTGTTCCCAGCCACGACAACAATAGAGTTATCTGAGGTCTTCCCTGAGCAGTCCAGGTGGATCTTTGGGGGTTCTGGAGGCACAAAAGAGGTCCTATGAGACTGAGGGGAAAGCAACTGGGATTCCTGCCATACCAAAGGGGTCCCCAAGAGGTGGAGGATTCCTTAAGGGGTGAGGTACTCAGGGAAATAGAGACCTAGGGCACAGACCCCAGCCTCCTCCCTTAGACTCAGGCCCTAGATCCCAGCCTCCCCCATCAGACCCAGGCCCCAAGCCCCAACCCAAGAAAGCTGCCCTCATGCTCACCTTGCTTGGGCACGTACTCCACCTTGATCTCTGCAAGGCCAAGAAGAGCACACCATTAGGGAAGCTCCAGCCCCCATCCACATTCAGGAGGCAGAGGCGGGGCCGGTGATGAGTGGCTGGTGGGAACTCTGGGATCTGTGCTGCCACACGGGGCCAGCCATGGCTCTGCCTGCTCCTCAGCCGTGCAATGCCCTCTCTGCCCATCTTCTCCACTTCTCCATGAACCCCACAGCCACCTGCCATTGCCTCCACTGAACTCTTGAGGACAGTGAGTCCCGGGGTAGGGACCTCCCAGGGCCCATGACCCCAGGGGAAGAGGCAGAGATTTGTTCACCCAGGAAGTTGAGCTTGGCCGAGAGTGACAGTGCATAGCCATCAGGTACGAACGTGTAGTCTCCCTCATCCTCAGGGCGGACGTCATCGATCACCAGCTTGTGGAACCTAGGAGTGCGGGAGTAGGACAATGGCCTGGAAAGCTCCACCCCCTTCCGTCTCCTTCTATACCTCCTGAGAAACGCCCTCCTTCCATGCAGTCTACACACATTTTTATTTGGGGCTTTGGCCTGTGCTCCAATCCCACTGGCTCTCTATATGCCATGGGGGTAAGTTACGTAACCTCTCTATGCCTCTGTGTCTTTACCGACAGGAGTAATAGGAACAATCTACCTCAGGGTTGTGGGGAAGCATCTAGAAAAATACCAGATGCATAGGAGGTGTGCTAGAGGCACTAGTTTATGCTCAGAATTTGTTGTTACTGATGTACAAATAAAGCTCCAGAGACCAGTACAATGTTGCACATCAATGATCCCAGCTGCTCTCCAGGCAGAGGCAGGGAGATCTCAAGTTCCAGCCTAGGCTGTCAGCAAGACCTTTGTCTTAAAAAACAAAAGGGCTTGGGTGTGGCTCAAGTAGTGAAGCACTTGCCTAGCAAACGTGAGGCCCTGGTTTCCATCTCCAGCACCCCCACAGTCCCTGCTCTTCTAAGGCAGACCCCTGGCTCCTCAGCCCCAGCTAACGATATGCATGCCATGCCACGTCCCCCACGCCCACAGCCTGCTCCGCACCTGCCCACATGGGAGATAGTGATCCTCTTGCTGGGCCGCACCTCCACACCGTTCTTGTACCACTTGCCTGTCACCTTCTCATCTGACACCTCACACTTGAACACAGCCTGTTCAGCGGCCTTCACAGTCAAATCGGCAATGTCCTGCAGGACTTCCAGCTGCTTCTCTGGACAGGGAGGGAAGGAGATGGGACCCTCATGACTCTGGTCAGGTGATCAGGGACACAGTGGGTACTGAGCCCTCCTACACCATTCTGGGCACTGAGTGAGGGGCGGGAGGCCCCGTCCAGGTGCACTATGGACTCTAAAGTTCAGACCAGAAGACAGGAAGGGAAGGGTCAAACCCCTGGGTGGAGCTTCGGGGCTTCGGACTTCTGGGAGCATGCGTGTACACCCCTCTCAGAGTCCTACCCTCCACGATGAGGTCAGCCTCACACTGGCCACCGTTGGTGATGACCTGGTACCGGCCCCCGTCCTCCTTGTCCACGTCAGAGTAGATAAGGATGTGGCGCTTGCCGTCCTTCTTGAAGCGATAGCGAGCCTTGTAGGAGTCCTCCCGCGTCAGCTCCACCCCGTCCTTCATCCTGGACACCCAGAAGGAGAGGATCAGCGCCCCGCTGGCTCAGCCTCCCAGGGGACCCAGGGCCCCTTGGAGCTCGTTCCGGGGATGGGATGCAAAAGTGTGGCGGAGGCATCTTGAAAGTTGGTGGTCACCACTTTGGAAAGCAGTCTGGAGGGTCCTTAGAAAGCTAAAGATTGACCTCCCTTACGACCCAGTCATACCACTTCTAGGCATCTACCCTGAACAACAGGAACCAATATATAAGGACACATGCACCTCCATGTTTATTGCAGCACTGTTCACAATAGCTAGGATATGGAAACAACCCAGATGCCCCACCACAGATGAATGGATCCAAAAATTGTGGTATCTATACACAATGGAATATTATGCAGCCATTAGAAATGACAAAATAATGGCATTTGCAGGGAAATGGATGGAGCTAGAAGGAATCATGTTGAGCGAGGTAAGCCAAGAGCAAAGAGACAAATGGTACATGGTCTCCCTGATAAGTGGATGCTAAATCCAAAATGTTAGGTGATATGACAAAATTAACAGGACTTAAGAAACAAAGAACTCCCGCTCATCTGGTCGAACCACTACTAAATATCCCCATGCTGCTGATCACATGTATGGTGTATATGTGTACACCGTTATATGTTATAGACCGTGATAGACAATTTGCTCCAGGAAACTTAGAATGAACTTGTGACTTTAAATGAGCATCATTATTCCACAATACTGTGAAATTTGGGAAATTATGTAATCATTTAATCACGATTAAAAAAAAAAAAAAGAACCTTGGGGAAGGTAGGGAGGGAAGGGATGGTAGGGGGAAAACAATGGAGGGGGTAACAATGCTCAATAGGAAGTGTACTCATTACCCTGTTCATGTAACTGTAACCCTCTGTATAGTATCTTTACAATAAAAAAATTTTTTAAAAATGTTGGTGGTCATCAGGCAGGAGGATGTCAGGGTGTGCTCTCCCCCACATGGGATACCCCTGCATCCCATCTCACCCATGCAGTCTCATCATCCAATTGTCAACCTCCTCTGGAAGCCCTCCCTAGCCTCCTCAACCCTCCGGTGAGAAGCCCTGGCTCCAGTCAGACGCTTGTCAAAATAGGACTTTGCTATTCTCCTGGTGATGTCCCGGCTAACATCTCTCCTCCATACCACCACCAGTTCTCCAGATTACTAATGCCATAAAGGCAGGCTCTGGGTTGCTGCTTGTCTTGCTTCTCCCTAGCACACTTCTGAGATGCAGAAGAGGACAGCCACACAACAGGGATCCATAAAGATGTGTTGGACAGAGGATGAGTAAAAGATTGGACAAGTGGGTAGATAATAGATGGATGGATGAGGATGGATGTGTGGTGGATGGGTGGGTAAAAGACTAGATGAAGGGATAGGAATTGGATGAATGGGAATGGGAAGATGAATGAATGAATGATGGATGATGGGGGATGGATGATGGGTGGATGGATGAGGGATGGATAGATGGATGATGAATGGATGATGGATGATGGGGATGGATGATGCATGATGGGGGATTGGATGATGAATGATGGATGATGAATGGGTGATAGATGCTAATTGATGGGGGATGGATGATGAATGATGGGGGATGGATGGATGATGGACAATGGATGATGGGGAATGGATGGGTGGTGGATGGGTGATGGATGATAATTGATAGGGGATGGATGGGGGATGGATGATGGGGGATGGGTGGATGACAGATGGGGGATGGATTATGGACAATGGATGATGGACGGGGGATGGAAGAAAGGTAGAAGGATGATGACTGGATTGGGGTGATGGCTGGATGACTGGATCTCCAGAGAGGTCCCAGGTCAGAAAGGTCAGCCAGCCACAGAGAAGGTTGGAACTGAGGAGCACTCACCACATGACCTGGGCTCCCTCTTCTGACACCTCCACTGCCATCTCTACGCGGTCACCCACAAACACCTGCTGGTCCTCCAGGGGTGTGACGATCAGGATCGGAGGCTCTGCATGGGATGGGGGACAGGAGGTCAGCAGGGCAGGGACCCCCACCCTGTGGGGGTTGTGCTCTGGCAGAAGCCGGGGCTCACCTTTGACGAAGAGCTCGGTGAAGCACTTCTCATCCTTCACGGCCGCCTCATACGCAGCGTCGTCGGCCAGTGTGCACTTATTGATGGTGAGGATCCGCTTCTTGCCCACGTTCTCAAACACGTACCTGCAGCAGGGCGGGGCGGGCAGAGTGGCCGTGTCAGTCCCACTCAGAACCCAGCCTGGGCCAGGACCCATCTTCTCCCACCTTATCCCCCTAGTCAACAGCCTGGGAGAGAACAAAAGGCCCAACTTCTCCTCCTCCTGTCTGGCTGCCTCCCTCCCTTCCTCCCTCCCTCTCCCCTCCTAGAGTTAAAGCCTCTTGCATGCTAGGCAGGTTCTTTGCCACATAAACCACAGCCCTTATGTTTGTATTTTGCTCTTGAGACAAGGTTTCATGAACTATGCCTGGGGTGGCCTGGGCCAGGAGGATCTCCTGCCTTGACATCTCTCTCCACAGCTAGGATTACTGAGCTGCACTACCACACTGGTCCTTGGACTCCCAACCGCTTCCTGTCAGCTGGGACAGAGATAACACCAGGAACACACACACACACACACACACACACACACACACACACACACACACAGAGAGACATCCATTATAGAATATACAACCAAGGAGGAAAAAAATTAAACCTATCTTGAGTTGGAGGGCATGGTGGTTCACACCTGTAGTCCCAGCTAGAGGGGAGGCTATAGTAGAAGGATGGAGACCTGGGGGGGGGGGGGATGGGTGAGTCCCTCGATCCCCCCGACTCGTACTTGCTGCTTGGCTTGATCTCCTGGCCGTTCTTGTACCACTTGAGGGGAAGATCGGGGTCGCTGATCTCTACCACCAACTTGATCTTGTTACCCCTGTCCACTTGGTAAGCGGGGTCTAGCTTCACTGTGAAGGCTGGAGCAGGAGGTGGTGAGAAGGAGTGGTGAGAAGGAGGAGGAAGAGAAGGAGGAGGAGGAGGAAGAGGCCCCTCCCTGACCTGGCCACCCCCCCCCCCCACACACACACCAGGGTCTCCCAGCTCAGGGCACGGGACTGACCCAGGGACCAACAGACCCTGGGGTGTCACAAGCCCCCGCCCCCAGGCCTGCACTGACCTGAGCTCTTTTTGACCTCGACCTTGGCCTTCTTGAGGCGCTTGAGCATGCCCCGGAGGTCGGTGATGCCGTACTGGAAAGCAATCTTCTCATACTCGCTCTTCTTCTTCGCTCCCTTCAGGAGCTCCCAGATCTCGGGGGGGATCCCCAAGTCATCTTCATCTTTCTTTTTCTTCTTCTCCTCTTCCACTACCTCCCTGGGGATCCCCACAAAGGAGGACACGAGGTTCTCACTTGTTGTGACCCTCTCCCACCCCATGTCACCTGCCTGCTCAGAGGCCTTATTGTATCCCACCTGGACCACTGGTCCTGGCCTCCTCCTGGCCCTCCTGCTTTCCAGCCTTCTCCTTTCAGGTGTATCCCCCTTCGAGCCCCCCAAAGGATATCAGAAGCCAGCAGACACTACCCCTTCCCTCCCGATGTCCACAGGAAGGTGATCCACTCCTCACCCCAGCAATCCACACCTTCCTGTCCTCTATTCTCTGGCCTCTGCCCAGCACCCTAGGCCTTTGTGCCTCCTTCAACTTTCCCTTCCACCCCACACCTAGCACCCAAGTCCTCTTCTCTGCTGGACGTTGCTTGACCCTCAAGGCTATGACTGGGGAGGTGGATGGGTGGGTAGCAGGCTGGGGGAGTGGGTGGACAGATGTTTGGGTGGGTAGACGTGTGCATGGACCAGAGTTGAGGCCACAGGACAGGGGGTGACCTGATGGGCAGATGGCTGATTGCTGGGTGGATGGGTGGGTGGACCAGTGGCTGGCTGGGTTGCTGGAGGGCCAGCAGAAGATCCTGGCATGATTTTGGAGATTCTGGACCAGCAGGGTTCTCCCCTCACCCGTGCCCCTGCCCCCTCTTCTTTGGGTCTCTCAAGGTTCACCTCTTCTTCAAGAGCCCGCTGAAGTCCAACTCCCCTGCATCTTCTGACTTTTCTTCACCCCTGTGAAGAAAAGGGCATGTGAGCCGCACCCACACCCACCTGGGGGACCACACCCCTGCCTCCCTAAACCCTCCGTCTGCCCAGATCCTCATCTCCGAAGGCCTGCTCCCCAGGGCAACTCACGAGCGCTTGAAGCTTTCGAGGCTCTCACCAGTGGCGTCCTGTCGGGGTGCTGGGGGAGGCAGGACAGAGGGGGTGAGCTAGAGTGGGGGGTCGTCTAAGACCAACAGCGCCTCGCAGGCCCCTCTGGCAAGGTCTGGGGGCAGCAGTTTCTCCCCTAGGCCAGGGAACCCCCACACACACACTCTGCGTCATCCTCCATCATGTTCCTGGCTGACCTCACCCTCCATCCCCCACCCCCACCTGTTAGCACCCCCTACTGCCCAGGCCTGGGCCCCCTCATCCCGTGTCCTCCATGTTCAACGCCCACCCCCCCCCCACACACACACATAGCCTGGAGTACAGCTCCCCAGAATCTACATGGACTCAGAGGCCGCCTATCTTACCCAGGCCCTGAAAATCAGGGCTACCGCCTCTCCATCCTGTCCACACTACCCTCCACACCTGAGCTCCTTCATGCCCCGATTCCTTGTGGCATTATCTATTTTGGGGGTTTGAACTCAAGGCCTCGCTCTGGCTGGGCGGGCACTCTGGAGACCCATGCCCGGCCCTTTGACTTCAGCTTGATTTCAGAGAGGGTCTCGCTGAGTGACTTGGCCTCAGACTGTGATCCTCCTATCTCCACCTCCGAAAGTGGTTGGGATTCTAGATGTGCACCACCACGCCCAGCCCCAATTCTTTATTCTTCTTTCTCAAGCCTGGATTGCTCCGTTTTCGCAAGCGCACCCCAAGATTTTAAACATGTTTCACTCCCAAGCCTACACCTATTCCTACTCTTGGCCAGTAGGTAGACAGTCACCCGATTTTGTATCCCCTGAAGCCCAAGTCTAGGGTCTCCAAAGACTCGTGCACCTCATCTGCACACGCATGCCTTCCCCCTCCCGGCTGGCGCATCCGCTCCTCATCCCCGGGCCTAGACACCCCTTCCCGCCCCCCGCCAGCGCACCCTCCACGTCGATGTTGAAGCTGCAGCTGTCACACACGTCCTTGGCTTTGACCTCCAGGCGGTAGTCCCCGCGGTCCCCCAGGACCACCTTCTGAATGCGGAGCTCCACCGTGTACACCTGGAGGCGGCACCAGTGACGCCCAGCGTGGGGATACCCCACTCCGCCCCGACAAGCCTCACCCCGGTCCTACTGTGGCTCATCCCAGTCCTGGGTCCCCTGCTCTATATGATAGGCCCCGCCCCCTGGGGTACTCATGTCACCCACACTCCGCTGGCGCTATCCCCGCCACCACCCCGGCCGCTCCACCATGGCTCACATTGCTGGCCGAGTCCTCCGACTCCTTGAAGGAGAAGCGTGCCCCGCTCTTGCTGTTCAGCTCCTGCCACTTCCCCTTGACCCACTTGAACGTCGGCTTGCCCGGGAGCTCCTTGCTGTTCACCTTGGCTATGATCACTGCGTCCTTCCCTGGAGACAGGGGCCGGTCAGGAACCCCAAACTCTCCACAGGGGGAGTGAGGTTGGAAGATACAGTGTCCAGATCCAGGAGTCCAGATCCAGCCTCCTCCCTCAGACCCAAGGGTCCAGGCCCCAGCCTCCTCCCTCAGACCCAGGGACTAGACCCCAGCCTCCTCCCTCAGACCCAGGGGTCCAGGCCCCAGCCTCCTCCCTCAGACCCAAGGGCCAGACCCCAGCCTCCTCCTTCAGACCCAGGGGTCCAGACCAGCTGCTTCCCTCAGACCCAGGGGCCAGACCCCAGCCTCCTCCTTCAGATCCAGGGGTCCAGACCAGCTGCTTCCCTCAGACCCAGGGGTCCAGGCCCCAGCCTCCTCCCTCAGACCCAGAGGTCCAGGCCCCAGCCTCCTCCCTCAGACCCAGGGGTCCAGGCCCCAGCCCTCACCAGTCTCCACGGACACGGAGTCAGGCTTCTTCACGAAGATGCCTGTGGGCGCCTCGGCAGTGGGGGACTGGTCCTCAGGTGCAGCTTCTGCTCAGGGGGTGAGATGAGGTGTCGGGGGGGGGGGGGGGCTGGAGGGGTGGAGGGACAGCCTGGGGGTGGGGCTCAGAGCCAGTGAGGGCTCAGAAACCAAACATGGTGGGGGGTAAGGTGGCTTTTCCTGTCCTGGGAACGATGACAGGTCACCCAGGGCTCTGAGGGACCTTGGTCAGGCTCCCCCAGTTCTCTGAGCCTCGATTTCCCCCTCTGTGGTCCCTAGGGTGCTGGACAGCCTGTTGGGGAACGCGCCATTGGCTGGACAAGGTGACCAGGACAAGCCAAGAGGAGCAGGAGCCACGCCACACCAGGCAGCTCCACCTGGGGGCACTCGTGAGCTCAGGCAGGGCTGGGCAGGGGGGGAGTGAGGGGCAACCTCAGCACGGAGAGCAGGGGGAGCGATAGGGAGGGGGCCTTCTCACCTTTGGGGGACTCTGCGGGAGCCTCCTTAGGGGGGGTCTCCTTGGCGGCATCTTTGCCCTTAGGGGCCTTCTTGGCAGCTGTGATGTACAAGACATTCTCAGTTAAGCACTGGACCCCTCACACCCCGAGTTCCAGACCCCAGCCCTCTTCCCTTGGACCCAGGCTTCCAGGCCCCTAACCTGGATGTAATTTGATCTAATCCCCAGGCTGTGGATTGGCTTTCTGTCCCCCAGGGGCCACCACGCCCCCGGCTCCCAGGCCACGGTGCTGACCTTTGGGTTCTGGGGTATAATTAGCTCTTCCTCTGGCCTGGAAACTGGACACTGTGCTGAGCACAGCAGTCTCCCCCGCGGTCCTGGCCCCCAGCCCAGGGGGGCACATTGCAAGGGGCTTGTTCCCCCACCCCCAGCCTGGCTGGTCTGACACCAGAGGACCCCCCCCCTCCCCCGTCCTTGCCAGCTTTGGATCTTCTGTACACACCAACTCAGAGAAAACATAAGTCCCTCTGCATAGAAAGAAATGCCCCCACCCCAAACTCCACGCAAGGTTGATGGCTGGGCCAAGCCACTTATGCAGGTGGCAGCCCTGGGTCCCATCCTCAACACCAGAGGAAAAAGGGGCTCCAGCCACGCTACAGCTGCTACACTGGGGAGTCCCAGTTGTCACAGAAAGGGAGTTCTCCTAGGGAGGCTTTCCCTGTCCCCACAGTCTGGAACCCCTTCACCTTCTACACACAGACACCCTCATATCTTACAGAGGACACCTTCAATCTCTACTCAGTGAAGCTGCCCAAACCCCAACTTATAGGACATTGTCCCGTTCCTTCTCAGCGAAGGTGGCAACCCCGTCAAAAACAAACAAACAAATGGGGGAGACCCTACAGCCAGGAGCTTGTGGCTCACACCTGTAACCCTAGCTACTCAGGAGGCTGAGATCTGAGGACTGAGGTTCAAAGCCAGCTCAGGCAGGAAAGTCTGTGAGATTCTTATCTCCAATAAACTACTCAGGAAAAGAAAAAGTGGAGCTGTGGCTCAAAGTGGTAGAGCGCTAGCCTTAAGCCCAGGGACAAAGTTCAAGCCCCAGGAATGATCAAAATAAGGAGGGAGACCCCCCAATTCATGAAAAGAAGATCCTGATCTTCACCACAGAGGACCCTGGGCCCCCTGGTGAGAAAAGCTCTACCATCCAGACAGAAGGAAGCCTCCCCCTTATTTATGAGGGGGGTCTGAGCACTGTCCCTGAGATTTTTTTTCTTGCTCAAGGCTCGTGCTCTACCATTTGAACCACAGCTCCATTTCTTGTTTTTTTTTTTTTTGCTGGTTCATCGAAGATCAGAATCTTATGGACTTTTCTGCCTAGGTTGGCTTTGAACTGTGATCCATAAGAAAAAGCTCTCAGCACCAACCTAAGCAAATGCACACACACACACACACACACATATCCCACAAGAAAGAGGAGCCCCTCTTCACTGTTAGAAGCATTCTGTTGGTTCAAACGCAGAGAGAGGAGGCCAAACCCCCATTCAGAAAAGGGGCCCCCCATCCCCCTTAGAAAGCCAAAACCCCCATTCAGAAAAGGGGGCCCCCATCCCCCTTAGAAAGCCACCTGGTTTGGCCTCGGGCATGTCTGCCTGTGGACCTTCTTCAGCTCCTTGGAGCTCAGCTGCCGCCTCTGCTTGCCAGGCCCTGAGGAGGACAGGTGGGTGTCCAGGGGGAGCCCTTTAAGGAGCCTGGAGCTCCCAGGAGGCTCTGGGAGGCCGGTGGGGGGGTGGGCACCCCACATTCCTCTCGCATGCTCTAAAGGGTGAGAAATATCAGCTGGAGGACAGGACACCTGCCACCATGCCAGGTCCTGGGGGACAGGTTGGGCCCGGACACCTGGGGGAGCGGGGCAGGCCTGGCGGGGGGCCTGGGGTGCCCGGATCCTGCGGGGGGCGGGGGGTGGGTAATGGCACCCGGTTGGGCCAAGGGCTGCCATCCAGACGTTAGGAAAGGGGGCGGGGAGAGACAGGTCTGGAAAGCCATTCTTAGTATCTGCAAGTCAGGAATTTTCGGGAACCCGAGCCCCGGAGGGAGGGTCCGGTTTCCCAGCGTAGGCAGGACGGCCGCGGGGGCCGGGGGGCGGATCTGAGCCCCAGAGGGTCAAAGGGACCCCCGAGGCCCGGCGCCTCCCCCAGGGTGGGCAGACCCCCGAGGCCTGGGGTCACCGCCGCCTGCCCTCCCGGGGGACGGCGCCAGGCGGTGCCCCCGGCCCCCGGAGGGGGACCGGCGGGGAGGAGAGGGGGAGGCCGGGAAGGCCCTGGAGCGCTGCCCGACCCGGCCGGGCGCCCTTCCCAGCAGGCCGACCGGTGACTTCTGAACGCTGGGGGCGTGGCTTGTAGTGGGCGTGGCTTGTAGTGGGCGTGGCTTGTAGTGGGCGTGGTCGGCAGCCAGGTACGGTCTCGCCCCGGAGGACGAGGTGTCAAAGGAGGGGCAGGGTGTGAAGGACTGGGGTCCAGGCGGAGACGTCCGTGTGAGGGACCCAGTGTCAGTGAGCACCAAGTTCCTCCTTTTTCTTCTGACTCCACCCCCAACCCTCCCTTTTTCTTCCCCGATTCCCCAAAAGCGGAAACTTCCATAAGCCAATCCGGAGTCCGCGTTAGCATGACGTCATAAGTTGCCAAGCAGAATTCCACAGCGCCCTTCCAACCTCCAGCCCAGAGGACACACAGCCCCAAAGCAGGGAAAGGCTGAAAACCCAGGCCAGGATGGGGAACAAAGCCAGAAAGACTCAATCTCGATCTTGCATCTCTAGACCTATTTGGGTACAGCCAGGCGTATCTGGCATGGCCTCTGATCTTGGGGTGTCACTGACCCCCTTTCTGTCACATGGGGTCCGGTGGAGGGCTGCGGTCCTGAGAAAAGGCTGCGGGGATGCCTGGTTTAGTTTCCTTTATTTCACGTGTAGGACGAAGATGTCAGGTTCTGTAGGGCATATCTTTGGGAAGAAGACATTTGCACGCCCCGCCCCTCCTTTTCCCCCTTCTCTCGAGGGACGCCCCAGCCCGGGGCTGGGCCACCTGCCACACTGTGCCCACATGTGGGCCTGTCCCCGTTCTGGGTCCATGGCGTTCCTTCCTCCTCCCCAGGGCCACCCTCGGGGCTCAATATGGCTCCATGGCTTTTGGAGCCCTCCTCGTCCCCTTCCTCAGAAGGACCAACTGAGACCAGCCCTCTGCAGCCCCCAGTTGTGGACTTCTGACCCCCTGGGGCCCCCCAAGAGGCCTCCAAGTTCGCACTGGCTTCAGCAACGGCTGGATTGAAGCGGAAATGGTGGGGGCCAAACAGGCAGCTGGGGTGGGAGTCAGTCAGGGCAGGAAATGGGACACGGGGGCACAGCCCTGCTCCAGACGCCCTGGCCCACGATAATCAGGGGAAGCTAGAAACTGGAGTTGAGCAAAACCTCTCTCGGCTGTCAGGTTGGCTGATCATGATCATTTGTCCCCCTCACCCCACACACCAAGTTTCAGTGAAGGAAAAAAAAAACAAAAACCTCCAGGGACTGACTTTGCCCAGGTGGTAGGGAGGGGGTGAGCTAGCTTCACCTCCGGTGGGAAATGGCCTGGGAGGGCCATCGGCACCCAGAAATCAGCTCAGTAGCTGGGGTCTCCCTGTGCGTGTCATGGAGGAGGTCACCCTTGGAATAGCCAGCTTTGTCCTGACAGTGCAAGGCTTTGCGCTGGTTTTTACTGGGGGCACGAGGTGGGCCTTGGGGGTAACAGCATCCCAGATTGGACAAGCGGACCCCAGAGGGGCCCAGACAGAGATCCACCACACCCAGGCCTGATGGGGTCATTTCAGACAGGACCCACAGAGAGCAGAGGGGACCCTGGATGCCACCGGAACATTCCAGATTTGGGAAAGGTGAAGCAGAATGAGGATCTCACAGATGGCAAATGATGGGGGGCCAGGTCGGGGGCAGATGTGACAAGTCACAGGTGGACAGAGCTGAGGCCTCCAAAGGCTCCCCGAAGACCCCCGGGCATAACCAGGCTGCTTTGGATCTCACCCCCCCCTCCCCTGGCAGCCTCTGTGGGGTACTGAGATGGGAGGTACTGGTGAGGGATGTGGTGGGTACCTGGCTGGGGCTGGGGGGACCCCAGATATCACCAGGGGGATCCCTAGGAAGCCTTAGAGTGGTCCACGGAGCCTGTGACCCAACCCTGCGTGTGAATCCCAGCAGGCCCTGGGCAGGGCTCGGGGGTGGTGGTCCCCACATATAGGGGTCCACAGATGCTCAGCTGTCTCCGGAGGGGTCCAGCCAGGGCCCCTCCCCAGGCCCACCCCTCCCCGGACTCCTTGGGGTTCAGGCCCGGCGTGGGGGGGGCAGCAGGGCGCTGTCGAACTGGTAGGTGAGCTTGCGCTTGACCTTGCGGATCTCGCCGGTTTTGGCGTAGTTGCGCAGCGCGCGCGCCAGCTTCTGGTAGGTCATGCGCTTGCGGTTGCCCTTCTGCTGCCCCCAGCGCCGCGCCAGCAGCTCCTTGTGCTTGGACGAGAACTGAAAGACGCCGGCGCCAGGCTCCACCCACCACACGCACTCCCGCATGTCGCCACGGGTCAGCAGCCCCAGCAGGAACTGGTACAGCCGGACCTTCTTGCGCGCCCCTAGAGTGAGGTGGGGGGGGGGGGAGGCTCCAATTAACCAGTCAAAAAACAGACGTGGAGGTGCACTGCAAGTGGTAGAGCACCAGCCTTGTGTAAAATAAGCTCAGGGATGGTGTCCAGGACTCAAGTTCAAACCCCAGGCCCAGCACACATACAGATAATAATAGTGTCTTTCTGGCAGCCTGGGAGAGTGAGGGCTGACAGTGACTGTGACATTTGCACGTGGAAAACAGGACCAACGGGAAAATAACTAGAAAGCTAATGCACCAGACACATAGGCACTAGGAAGATGCTCAGTACTGGGATTTGAACCTGCGGCCTCTTCCACAGACAAGCTACCACTTGCGTCCCAGCCCCAGCCCTTCGGTTTTTTTTGTTTTGGGGTCCGGTTGTGGGGCCTGAACTCTGGGCCTGGGCGCTGTCCCTCAGCTCTTCAGCTCAAGGCTAGTGCTCTACCACTTGAGCCACAGCGCCACTTCCGGCTTTTTTTCTTTTATTTTGCTTATGTGGTGCTGAGGAATCGAACCCAGGGCCTCATGCATGCAAGGCAAGCGCTCTACCACTGAGCCACCTTCCCAGCCCCAAGCCCTTCAGTTTTGACTGTTTTAGAGACAGGATCTTATTAATTTTGCCTTGCTAGCCCCCAACCTTCTTGTTCTCTGCCTCCTAAAAAGCTGGGACTACAGGTGAGCCCCACCATTCCTGGCTTAGAAGCAAAAGTTGGGGCAGACCTTGGGACTCCTTTTGCTACTGCCGTGTGCATGTCCACACAGAGTGCCCGCCCTGTGGCCCTGTCCCCATGGCTACCCCCACGGACGGACACAGATTGTCCCCCTACCACCTTGGATATTCATCACCCAGGCCACACTGGAAAGCAAGGCCCAGAGAGGTTGGGACATTTGCGCAAGTCACCCAGCCAGTAGATGTCGTTGATCCAGGCACTGGCTCCACAGCAGGACTATACACAGGCTCCCGCTCCCCCACCTCGAGTTGGGGTCCCTGGCATCCCCCGGTCCCCACACACCTGCCTCAGATCCTCTTCCCTCGGGGCCGGCCATGAGGGCCTCGTCTGACTCGCTGTCTGACACCTCCAAGGCAGGGCTGACCAGCAGCAAATCTTCCTCCTCAGATAGCACAGGGCTGGGGTACGGGGCGTAGGCCAGGGGGCCAGGGGTCTGCAGAAGGCCAGGGATACCTGAACTTCTGGGGATCCCTTCTCTCCCTCCCTCTCCCTCCCTCTCCCTCCTCCTCCCCTGTGCCCTCCTGAATCTGGTCTCTGTTTTCTTATTTTTATTTTCTTATTTTTGGTATGTTGGCTCTGGGGCTTGAACTCAGGGCCTGGGCGTTGGCTCTTGAGTGGTTTTTACTCAAGGCTGGCACTCTGTCATTTGAGTCATGGCTCTACCTCTGGCTTTTTGGTGGTTCATTGGAAATAAGATTCTCTTGAATGTTCCTTCCCTGGATGGCTTCGAATTGCGATCCTCAGATCTCAGCCTCCTGAGTAGCTAGGCCTACAGACACGAGCCACCAGTGCCTGGCCTTTTTTTTTTTTTAAAGACATTTCATATATAGCCCAGCTGGCTTCATATTTGTGATCCTCCCATTTCTGTCTCCCAAGGGCTGGCATTACAGGTGTGTGCCACCATGCCCAGCTCTGCCTTCTCTTTGCTCATAGTAGGGACCCAGGCATTGTGGCCAGGAGTCCCCCCGAATACAGGCCTGCGGAGAAAGCCATTCTGTGCCTCCATGGGTGCCTGGAGTAATGTTGGGGTATGACTTCACAGAGCTGTGACAGAATGTGAGGGGTGACTGTGGGCACAGGTTTGCTGACTGATGCGTTTGGCTCCTTCAACTGGCCAGCTTTTTCTTCTTCTTCTTCTTTTGTCATTATGGATTTGAATTCAGGTCTTTGTACTTGCTAAGCAGACATTCACACCCCCAGCCCTTTTTGCTCTGGTTATTTTTGCCCAGGCAGCTAGATTGCTCTTTGCGTTTTCCACCGTAAATAGGCTGACAGGCATGCACACCATGCCCTGATTTTTCTGTTGAGATAGGGACTCCCAAACTTTCCTGTCCAGCTGGCCTCAAACCATGATCCTCCAGGTCCCTTCCTCCCAAGTAGCTAGGATTGCAGTGTGAGCCTGTGTGTTTGGATTTTCTCCCAGACACTCACCTGGCTGGTGAAGTCCTCTGGAGGGTAGGTGGGGAGGCCGGGCCCCGGGGCCTCCAGGCTGGGGATGGAGTCAAGGCTCCCCACTGGGCTGTAGGCAGAAGGGCCGTAGCAGAGCTGGACAGCCTGGGGGTGGCCAAAGGCGGCCACTGCTGGGTCGAGGGCTTCGTAGGGGGTGGCAGGGGCAGGTGGAGCTTCAGTCCAGCCCCAAGAAGGGTCTGGGAAAAAGGAGTGAGGGGTGGGGAGGCCTGAGCCTGAGCCAGCCAGTACCCCACACACAGGAGCCATTGTGGCCGTGCAAATTTCTCACCCCAGGATTTGCATGGGGAACAGAAGGTGGGAAAAGAAAGGGGAGGAGGTGTGGGGGCCCACGTCCCTTCCACCCCCCCTTCACATCCCCCCCTCTTCTGGGTGGGTGACACTTCCCCTGGGCCTCAACTCCCCAGCTGTGAAATGGGCCCGGTGCCCAGGGGGTCACTCACCAGGGACTCCTTCTGCGTCGGGGTAGTTGGTATGTTTGCAACTATCCAAGTCATAGAAGATGCTGTCTGGGTACTGCCAGGGTGGGTGGGGAGAAAGTCATCCCAGGTTTGGGGCACCCCTCCCACCTACCCACACCCTGGGAGAAGAGACATGGCCCATCCAGGGGAGAAGCTAGAAGGAAACAGGCAGAGAAGGAGGGTCAGGAGATGAGCATGGTGCTGTATGCCTATAATCCCAGCACTGTAGAGGCTGGGACAGGGAGACCCTGTCCCAAACACACACACACACACACAGAGGAAGAAAGACAGAAACCAAGGGGGGGTGGGGAAGGGAAGGAGAGGGAGACAGAGACAGAGAGAGACTGACTCTAAACCATAGAGATAGTGCTATGGGGAGACCCAGAGACACAAGCATGAGAGGGCCACACAGACAGTTCCTGCCAGGGCTGGCCCTCGGGGAGCCGGGGAGATGCTGTGGCTGAGGTCTCCAGCCTCCCCTGGCTGTGATGGGGAAGTAAAGGGTAAGAGGAGGTAAGTGGGTATGGGGGGGGACCCTCAGTGCCCCTTTAACCCATCTCCATTTGCGCTCTGGTATCCTACGGATTGCACGTGCCTTCAGCCACTGAAGGCGAGTGGAAATTCAGGCTGAAGCCGAGCCCAGCCCTTGCCTGTTTCTTTGGACAGGAGAACTGAACATCTACGTCCCAGAGCTGGCCCAGGCAAAAACAGCGTTGTTCATCATCTGAGAGCGGGAGCAGCCCAGGCATCTCTCAAGAGGAAGACCAATAAACAAACATGGCTGTGCGCACAGGGAGTAGTACTATGCAGTAAGGAAAAAGGGGCAGTGACCCAACTCGAACTGTCCCAACATCCACTGTGGGAATCACAAAAAGGGCAAAAACAGACATCATGAGTCAATGGTGTAAACTACTGGGAGTGGGACTATCTGGGAAGGTACTCCAGGGAATGTTCTAGATCTAGATCTGGAAGAGGTAACACAAATGGGTGAATGGGTCAAACTTGAACTTCTAAAAATCAAGGAAAGCAGGTATAGTAGTGCAGGCCTGTAATCTCAGCACTGGGGAGGCGGAGGCAGGAGGATTATAAATTCCAGGCCAGCAGAGGCTTCACAGACGCTGTCTCAAAAAAAACAAAAAACCCAACAAAATTCAAAGTGGGTTTCTGTCAGCCACAAACAAGGAAGTCTTATTTCTTGGAACAGGTTGCGGTTCAAGGGTGTTGGTCTAAAATGTTATAGAATAGAAACATTTAGCCAGGCATAATGGTGGTTCCTTGCCTGTAATCCAAGCTACTTGGGAGGCAGAGCTCAGGAGGTTCATGGCTCAAGACCAGCTTGAAAAAAGCTTGTGTGACCCTATCTTTATTTATTTATTTTTTTTCTTCACGAGACCCTATCTTAACCAATCAAAGCTGGGCAGAGTGGTACACGCCTGTTGTCCCAGCTGTGTGGGAAGTGTCAACAGGATTATAGTCCAGTCTGGGCATAAATCTGAGACCTTATCTGTAAAGTAACAAAAGCTTAGGTGTGTGGCTCCACAGTAGAGTGCCTGTCTAACAAGTGGAAGGCCTTGAGTTCAAATCCCAGTCAGACAAAATAAAACAAAAATACAAAATGGAAACAGTGGAACAAAAGGTTGGAAGGGATCAATCCCCTGGTCGAATGTAGGGTAGTTGTTAAAGTGGCCAGAGGAAGAAGTCAGAAATAGGTCTGTGGTTGGGGGGTGAGGGGTGGGTGGAGATCTGGGGAAGGGAAACTGAGGCAGAGAGTGAGGACTTTCTCTAAGAAAAGTCACAGTGGGCCTTGTGGGTCCCCCACCCCTTCCGATCCCAGGGGGCCCGCCGACTCACCAGGCAGCTGAAGTGTGGCGGGTCGAGCCTGGCTGGGGAGAGGCGCAGGGGCATGGTCGGACACCTGGGAGCAGAGGCCGCAGCTGTGACCTCACAGCTCCACTGTCTTGTCTACTGGGCCCTGTGACACCCTGCCCCCTCCCCAGGCAGGGGCGGGGCCAGGCAAATGTCCCCCATCTCGGGATTTGCATAGACACCCCGGGTGCAGGGGAAAGTGCGGGGGAGAAAGTCCCCCAGGGACCTGTGGCCCCCAGCCCCGGAAGCCTGCAGGGGGGGTGGGAAGTGGAGGGGCCTGGTTGCCCCCTGGGGTCAGAGGGGAGTCAGGAGAGGAGGGAGGCAGGGATGGGAGGCTTGGAGTATGTGGTGCAGGGCAGGACGAGGAGGGGAAGCCGAGCCATGGCCCGGGAGCCAAGGCCAGAAAGATGAGGTGACAGGAGGTGCCCAAAGAGCCTGACCTTCGGGGACCTGGAGGCCCTGGGGCGGGTGCGGACCTCTGCTCCACACACCACCTGCACCGGCACAGGCACGGGAGGCCATGGGCAGGGCAGGGGGCAGCGCAGGGTGGGGGCCAGGGTGCAGGGTGGTACAGGGGCGCCCACTTACTGTGTAGCCTCCAGGGCAAGCATGGCGGTGCGGTGCGGGGTGCTGGCTGCCTGTACTGCAGCCACAGCAGCACCCCTATATATGCCCTGGCCCAGCCCCGGGGGAGGGGCAAGGGTGCGGGGCCTCCTCAAAAATCCCCGGGGGGAGGGGTCGGGATTGCACAACCCCTCGCCCCACAGCAGGCGGGCGGGCCTGGGGGCCATCAGGATTTGGGGATCTCCATGTTTGGAGGTGGGGATGGGGGGGGGGGAGCTGGCCCTGAGGGGTGCTGGGAGGGGTGTAGGCAGTGGGTGTGCTGAGGAAGTGTTTGCCTGGCTGCAGCGGGTGATGTCTGACGGAGACACGGGGCCTGGGTGTGCCTGGGGGACCTAGCTGACCATGAGGACCAGGAGTGGGGGAACAGTGGAGGTCTGCATGGGCACTGGGCTGGGGCACTGAAGCTGACCATGAGAACCGGGGAGGGGGACGGGGGTCTGCACAAGCACCATGGTGGGGGGAGGCGGGGGAGGACAGACTGAAGCTGACCATGGAGGGGAGGGGAGGGGGAGGGGATGGCTAATGGGGGAACGGCAGGGGTCTGGCCAGGGCAATGGGGATCCCCGGCTAAGGCCGACCATCATCACGGGAGGTGGAAAGCTCTGTGGGTGGGAAGTGGCAGGGGGTGGGTGGGGTCCCCTGGGGATGGCATGGAGTGGAAGCTTGGGGGGCCGGGGCTGCCCCGGGGCTTGGAAAAATCAAGTGAGCACCTGGTACAGCAGTGGCCACTGCCCCCCCAGAAAGGCAGTAGGGGAACAGGCATACCAGGCCTACAGGCCCAAGGGGAGCCTAGGAGCCCGGGTAGGGGGGGCAGGGGGGCCTGGGCTGATGATGCTGGACCACGTTCCCCCCAGAGACCATGCACGACACAGCCCGTAGCGAGAGATGTTGAGCTTTATTCCCCTGGCCCAAGCAGCAGTGGGTCACCAGGCCTCAGGCCCCGGCGGCCCAAAGCGGCGCAGCAGCTGCTCCTGCTCCTCCAGGTCCTTACGCACCTTCTTGCGCATGTAGAAGATGGGGCAGTCCCGGCTGTGGGGGTGATGATGGCGGTCAGGCTGGGCCTGGGGGCACGGGGCAGGGCCGGGCGGTTCCCAGGACTTTGGCCCCTGCCAGCTGCCCACCCCGAGGGGAGGGGGCTGTTTGCCCAGGGGGGAAGGGGGCAGATAACAGCGGGCACTCTGGGCTCTGAGGTGGCCGTATATCACCTGTCACCTGGCGTGGGAACCCGCCCCGCCCACCCGTTCCCTGGGGAAAGCCGGCCCCACCCTGGGGTTGTGGCAGGGGGGGGAGCCATTTCCTGCAGGCCCGGGGCCCACCCTGCCGTGCAGGCTGTGCAGCCAGGGTCCTGGGGGGATAGTAGGGGGCGGGGTGCACCTGGTGCAGATGACGTCCTCGTGCAGGCTGCCCTGGCAGCGCTGGCACTGCGTCCAGAGACGGGAAAAGCGCTCCTCCAGGGCATTCAGGTGTGACACCTGGGGACAGCCCGGTTGAGCACAGCCGAGCGCCCCCCACCCCTCCACCCCACCCCTGCGCCCCACCGGTGCCCCTCACCTCCTTCTGATACAGCTCTGACTCTCGGGGCTGGCAAAACTTGCACACAGCTCCTGGGGTAGGGGGGTTGGGTGATTTGGGGGTGACTGGGGCTGAGCTGGGCTGGCCCCCCCCCCCCCCGCCCTTCCCTGCCCGGCCTCTGAAAAGTCCCTGCAGGCTGGAGAACAAGGGTGCGAGTGTGTACGGGGGGGAAAACTCCCCTGGGGAACCCCGGGGCGGGCAGGGACCCCGAGGAGGGCGCGGGCCGAGGTCTCACCCTGATGGCTGAGCACCGTGCGGCAGCCAATGCAGCAAACCCGCCGTGTGGCGAAGGCCAGGAGGCCGCCCACCTTGCCGGTAAGCACCGTCTTGCAGCGTGTGTGGTCGCCCCCTGCACAAGGGTGGGGCATGAGGGACCAGCTTCTCCTCTCAGTAACCCCCAGTGCCCCCCCCTTCAGTACCCCCCCTCCACGCACGCAGCAGCACGGCCTCGGCGCGGCCCTCGCCCAGGATGGGCTCGAAGATGCGCGTGAGCGGCTTGGCCAGCTGCTGCTCCAGGTAGTACTGCGTGTCGATGGGCAGGCTGTGCTCCAGCACGAACAGGGGGTCCTGCAGGGATCAGAGGTCACGAGGGGCAGGGGCCACGGGGGCGGGGGGGAGGGGGAGAGAGGGGCAGGTGGGCTCACCTCAGACTTCATGTAGGCGGCCACGCCCTTGGCTGCACCGATGATGACGTAGGGGACACGGTCCCCCAGGCTGGGCGCGCTCCCGGGGTCACGCTTCCTCATCCTGCAGGAGAGTGGGCATGGCTGTGGGCTGTGGCGGGCACAGCTGCCAGGACTGGAGGCTGTAGGCCAAGGTCCCCCCTTCCCTGCACCTCTCAGCCAGCTCCACGTGGGCCTGCTTTCCCGCATAGTCGGCCGTAGCACGGGTCAGCTCCTTGGTGATGACCAGCTGTGAGATGTCGATGCGGTTGCACAGCAGGTCTGAGATGACGTCCTTGGCATGGGCTACGGCACCCTCGGGGTCTCTGGGGGGCGACAGCAGAGCTGTCCAGAGCCAGGCTGGGCTGTGGGCTAAGCTGGGGGGTAGGGGCAGGGCGGCGGCCACACTGCAAGTGTCAGGGCCTGAACTCATTGTCCCCACAAGATGATGGTAGCTGCAGCTCAGACCCCTGGGTGTGAAGGAGGAGGTTGGGGCCTGGACCTGTGTCTGAGGGAGGAAGCTGGATGGGGAGGGGGGTGGTGGTGATGACGCATGTGGGACACACCTGTCCACGAGCAGGCGGCGCAGGGAGGCAGTGACGAGGTTGGCCACCAGGGGGCAGTTGTCCCTGCGCACAGCCTCCAGGCCCTTGCAGTCCATGCGGTCGTGGGCGTCGGGGCGCGAGGAGAAGAGCAGACCCGCATAGCGCTTCTTGCTGATGAGCAGGTAGGGGAAATAGACCTGGGAGGGGTTCAGTTGGGGACCCCTGAGACTGCAGGTCCCCCCTCACTCCTGAGAAGCCCCTCACGCGAGGCAACAACCGCTCCTCAGATGCAGGATGAAGGCGGTGAGGGAAACCCCGAATCCCAGCAAAACAGACCCCAGGATGGTCCCCCACTTAGGGTGGTCTGGGGAGACAGCAGGCTGAGGGGATGTGGAGCTGGGAGCCCTGGCACCCCACAAAGGAGGCCATGGCCAGGATGAGCTGTGGCCAGGGCCCCCAAACACCCATGCAGGGGCACCGTGGTGGGCTCTTCAAACCGCCATTTCTGTCCTTGCCTTTCTAATCCCAGAGGAGCATTTCCCAATCCCAGCCCCCAGTGCTGAAGAAGAGGCACCTAGGGCACCCTAACACGGACAGGCCTTGAGGAGTGGGGCCTCCCAGAGCAGGGGACAGACCAGGGGACCCCATACTACTGCAGACTCAAATCTTGAGAATACCCAAGAACTAGATGACCCCAAACTGGCCAGGCCCACATGGCCGCCCAGCGGTCAGGAACAAACCTTCTCAAACTCCAGCCGGATGGGGGATGGGAAGTGACCGGATACCCAGTCAGCAGCCTCACGCCCCAGGGCCATGGCCTCGGCCACTGAGGACACGCCGAACCGGCACATGACTGAGTCCGTGTCGCCGTATACCACCTGGAGGGACACACGTGACCGACTGGGTCCACCCTCCAACCCAGGCAGGTGCCCCCCAGCGGAGCAGGCGAGGGGGATGCAGGCCAGCTCCCTGCCCAGGGCGGGGGTCCTCACCTTGGCATTGGCGCTGTAGCCGTTGTCCGTGGTGTACTTGGACTCCACCAGCTGCTTGGTCTTCTCAATCATCTGCCGCCCGAAGCCGGTGACACTCTGTTGGGAAGGGGGATGTGGGGGTGGGGTCCTGCGCATGCACTGGCACACACACCTACATGGCTGCTGCCCCATCTGCGGCCACTCTCCTCACTTCACACGAGAGGAGCAGGAGCAGGGGTGGGGTGCGGGGCACTGGGACTCCAACAGGAGAGCAGCTCTCCCGTTTGCTCCCTGCGCCGGTCATCTCATTAGCTCACACCCACGTGGCATGCTGACACACGTGCTCAAATCCACGTGGCGTGGCCCCTCCTCCGCTTCCACTCATGTCCCTTTAAGGGACACAGTTGATGACACTGCACCCTCAAGCTGGCTGGGCTGGGAATGGGGACTCAGCATGTGCTCACCGTGGTCAGGCCCTGGCGCTGCCCATGGGATGGACCTAGAAGACCGAGGCTCTGTGACTGGCAGCCTCCTGGCTGTGCTACCCTGTGTGTCCTGAGACAGGACGCCAGGGACCCGCGCCCTGCCGCCATGGTGTGCACTGTGGTCTTGGTTGGGGCTATGTTTTAATAATTTTTTTTTTTTTTTGTCAATCGTGGGGCTTGAACTCTGGGCCTGGGCGCTGTCCTTGTGCTCTTCAGCTCAAGATGAGCGCTCTACCTTGAGCCTTGGCACCACTTCTGGTTTTCTGGTGGTTAATTGGAGATGAGTCTCACAGACTTTCCTTCCCGGGCTGGCTTTGAACTGTGAGCCTCCTGAGTAGCTAGGATTACAGGCATGAGCCACCAGCGCCCAGCTGTGCATAATTCCTAACTGCTCACAAAGCTGTACACGCTTCCCGTGACAACTGCATCCAATCCTGCTGCTCAGTCTCGCCCTCTGTCCACTCCACCGCCTGCCCCCGAGCAAGTCCTGTTGTCATGAGTGTCCCGCTCCATTCCGAGGGAGCCTCGCCAGGACACAGCTGTTTGGTCACTCTTGTCCTCCTGGGGTGCAGAGCAAAGCCTGACCCACAACACAAGCTCAATGTCTTTGTTGGAACAACCGGCCAAGAGCTTGGGCCTCCCTAGCAGCCTTACACCAGATGCCCAGAGGTGGGGTGACCCCCCCCACAGCCCATGCTCAGATACTGGGTGACCCCACACAGCCCAGGCCCAGAGTGGGGGGACACTGAGCAGCCCGTGCCCTCCTTCCTGCTGGGGTGGCA